AGTTGATAGATAGGCTATGACAAAAAGAGGAGTGATGGAGTAACCGTTTTCGGCAGAACGTTGTTTGAGGGATTAACTTCACTTGTCTCTTTGGCGAGTTTGTAGCCTGGTGCGTAGAGTGGCAAAACTCGCTGATGATGCCGACTACGATGGCGGCGAAGCGTCTGAGAAAGTACCAAGTCCACTGTCTGATACTGTGAATGATGACAACTACTATGATAGACGACTTCGGACTAGGTGCGTTCTACTATGTCGCCCTGACAACAAGACCAAGTTGAGACAACGAGGTCAGCCCAAATTCCACGATTTGGTTGGCTGATTTATGCTTGTCCTACATGCATGAAAGTTGCTCAAAGTGATGCATTCGGGGGAGCGGATGTGGCGACAACTTTTGTCTACGTTAATAAACTAGAGCAGTCGTTCCCAAACTTTTCCTAGTCGCGGCGCCGTTTTTCAATTAAAATTTTTCCATGGCGCCCTACCCTAAGTATGACTATTCTTAAGTAAGAGATGAAAATAAATAAAACTCGTGTATCCTTATTATTTTTTTACTTAATTTACATTAAATTTATATGTAATAATTACTGTGATGGATGAGCCTGCGAATCACTGCACATTTTCTCCAATTGAAGCTTTTACAATATTTCGCGGCGTCCCTGTAAAGAGGCCGCGGCTCCCAGGGGCGCCGCGGCGCACAGTTTTGGAATCACAGAACTAGAGTATTATCCAGTTGTTCTGAATCTTGTTACAGCTTCGTGGATGGGTGTTTGTGTGTGTATGCAACATCCCCAAGTTGATGATAAATTTACGTTCAAAAACAGGCTCCAGCTTAGTTTAGTCTTCTCGCTTTCTCATTTTATTTAGAAGCCAGAGATAATTCTTACTTAGTTTCCTACATGTAAGAAGTCATGTAAGAAGTATAAGTCAACCAACCCAATTATGGAATGCCTCAATAAGATCGCAGAGCTAGGTATAAGAAGTAAGTATGATCTCAGCTGGTCACCTTCCTCGGTTCAACGTTTTTGGTGATTTTTCGTGAATAATGGTTTCTGGTCCCGACGATTTCCGTCACAGGACGGACGAGAACTCAACAGGAAGTCATCGGGGTTGTAGCACGGTGAGGCGAGGTTTTCTTTCCACAGTTCAACAGACAAAAACTTAAGGCAACACTTCTGTGCTATTACGGTGAGGCCAATCTACGAATCCTTTCGAGCCGCCTTCTCAAACGAAATGAAAGGTACGCCAGTATTAATATATTAATGGATTCTTAAAAACCCTGCTTCTCTTCATATGATCAGTAGGGAGTTACTAACACAACTAATCATTTTGACAATAAAGACAACCTATTTTACATTCAAGGGGACCATCTTTGAACAAATATTTGGACTTCCATTGGGATCGCTGCTCTCACCACTTTTGACAAACATATGCATGAACAAATTAAAAGAGAACTTCAAGATGTCCCCGCTACAAGCAGCAGTGCTTATGAGATACCTGGATAATTACTTTTCAATTTGGTCACATGGAAGAGAAAAACTGGAAGATTTTCTGAAGTTTATAAACCAGATTTATGAAAAAATTCAATTTCCGATAGAAGTAGAGGAAGGTTAGCAGCTACCTTATCTAGATGATGAAATGATTCATTCTAATAGGACGCTCAAGAAGAAATTGTCTAAAAAGAAGCCTTATGCTAGATAATACTCAATTTCCATTCTAATCACAATTACTGGCTAAATATAGGAATAATGAGGAGCATGATAACCCGAAGCCCACGGTTAACGATTGTGGAATTATGGGATGAAGAATTGGAAAAATTGATTAGGATATGTTTGGCAACGGCTACCCAAGCGAATTACTACAAGAATCATACGCCCGTGAAAGGCCGATGGCAGAACGGGGACTACGAAAGAACAGTAAAGAGGGCGAAAGATAAATAAAAATGGATATGCCTACCTTCCTGCGAACAAACTTAAAAGCGATGGCCAATACTAAGGAAATGGAATATTCGGGTGGCCATGAAGGAAAAAACAACTCTTCACAATTCTACCGACACAGCATGAAGGGGTAAATACATTGAATTGTTCAGAAGTTTACTGCACAGAATACAGCGCCTGCAAACATAATTATATTGGCGAAGCAATGAGAAAATTTAGCATAAAAATCAAGGAACCTTAAAGGCTTCGCAGGAAAATGAATACCGAAAGATGAGAATTAGCGGGACACATCACACTGACTGGGCACGAGCTCAATTGGAAAGTAACAGAAAGAAGGTCCCCATAAGGTGGAAACACAAGAAAGCGGAAGATTAGAGAGGTCAGTGATATTCTTGGAGAAAAAAATCGAATGAACAGGAGATTGGAGGAAGACAGAGTTAGCGATAACTTTGCCTACTGCTTAAGCAAACTCGGGGAAAACAAGAATACAGCAAGACCAGCAAAATGGAGACGCCTGGATGAATGATCTATCGCTAACCCGTGGAAAAAAGATCGCGATGAGAAAAGAAGGGAGGAATTTCGGAAATCAAGCGAAGACGTAATCAGTGAGTGATGTCTGTTCGAAGAAACCAGTACAACTTTGGGGGCCTGGCAGTCAGGCAACTAGGGTGACGGATAAGCACAATAGTCAGAGAAATTCGGCATTATTGTCTAATTGTACTAGAAATCCACTTGAGATGCCGCATGCAACCAGAGATAGGCGTGCACAGTTTGCTCAGGTAACACGGGTTTAATCACGGAGATGGTCCGTGAAGGTAACGTATAATCTCTGCAAGCATTGGAATCAAATCCTAGGCGCTCTGTTCGGTGAGGCGGCAGTTTATGTGCTTATAAGGCCTTGAGAAATAGCGCCTGGAGTAAAACACACACTGAGACTGGAACCAAGTGAAATCGGTCGACCAGAAAGATAAGAAACGGATCTACAGGACCACAAGGTCCGAATCGGATTAGCCGATTGAAAGAGAGGGGTTAGGGTGAATAGCAGGTGTGATGAGGCCACATCAAATTTGCCTAAAAGGACACATTTTGACGAGTGGAATGTAAACAAGTCATAGTTATGATAGGGAGGGAGTTGGATAAGAGGGTAAAGAATTGATAGATGAGTCAGAATAGAAATAGGAGTGATAGTGTAACCGTTTTCGGCAGAAAGTTATTCGAGGGATTGACTTCACTTATCTCTTTAGCGAGTATGTAGCTTGGTGCGTAGAATGGCAAGAATCAGTGATGCTGCCGACTACGATGCCGGCGAAACCTCTGAGAATGTATCAAGTTCACGGTCTGATGCTGGGACTCATGGCACCTACCATGGCAAAGGACTTCGTACAAGTTGCGTTCAACTAATTCGCCCTGACAACAAGAGCAATTTGCGAAAACGAAATCAACCAACTTCTATAAATTGATAAGCGACTGCGACGCTACTAGTGGCGACACCATCTTGGTGTTCATATCTTCGACCTAGATTATGAATGGTTGCAGGCGCGTTTAATCAGAATAAGGATTAAGGTCACGATATTTAATCTTCAGGACCATGAGCCAAACAGCCATCCATTTGGAAGCTTTCTTATATATTCTATGCTTGGTTGCGATCGTATCTTCAACTTCAAAGTCAATCGATCGTTACTTTTTCTCAACGTATTCTATGTAGAATGTACCCCAAATTTACGACTCAGATCATCATTTTTATTGTGCATAGGAGTATCTGAGTCCATTGCTTGAGAGCCATTTATGTTGAAGTTGCTACAAATAATATTATTTCGTATATATTTGCATTAATCTTTCTATCCTTTGTGTTCTAATAAAGGAGAATATCATCTCACGAAACGTTGCGATATTCGCTTTCTATTTGTCTATAAAATAAAATACATTTTATTTCTCCTTGCACTGTCCAGATCACAGGCAAATTTAAATTAACTGAAAACCTTATCATTCCTTAATATTCTTCGTTCATCCACACTATTCTTATATTTGTTTATATGAGATGTATTCACCATGGCGATGTAGCGTGTATTCTCGACATGTTAACCACTACGCCATATTTTCACGAGTGCCCTTAGTTTAGAGGGCAGATGTGAATTTCAAGGAAGGCCAGGCCTTTTGCCATATCACTTTCTTTGGTGGGGATGTCGATGAATCAAACGTATATTTGCTATAATAATCGACCACGTTACTTATGCTTCGTATGTAAGTAGAGTTTCGAGACTTCCAGTAAATTAGTATTCACCCTATTTTGTTTAAGGTGATGATGGACTCGTAGTAAAATTTTCCCACTTTTATATGATAAGACCTACGCGAGATCAGAACTGCAGTCCACCCTGGGTGAGAACAACTTTTGGGAAAGCAGACTTTGTGAAATTCAATGGAACTGTCAGTTCTACTCATATCATTGTGGGAAAATTCTACTACAAGCCCTTCATCACCTTAAACGAAATAGGGTGAATGCATCTCAAATACCTTCTTATATTTTTATATGAGAAATATCGCCGCTAGCGTCGATTTATTCTCATATTAATCACTATATTTACTTTTTTATATTGTATAAAAAACTTCGCAATATTTATTGCTTATACCTGGTTGGCTGTTTGCATCCGCAGTCTGTTTTTTCCTCAATATTCACAATGCTAAGTGCGGCCACCTTGGCTGCGCAAAGTCCCAAATGATGCTTTACATATTTTTGTAGATATGAAGGCCAAGATGGTGTGGCCTATTGG